AAAAAAAAAAAAAAAAAGAAATCCCATTTTCTTTTCCTTTAAATTGCTGGCTAAAATTTTAATGGCCAGGTTGGGGCTACCTTCTACACCCTTGGTTTATCTTCCACAGAAAAGCCAAATACCTTAAAAACAAACCTCAAGTTAACTATTTCTTGGCACTAGTTATTAATTTGTTTTGATCTGATATTCACAAATCAAGAAAATGCCCTGTTCCAGCAAATGCAAGTGGAGAGATGGCTTCAGGATTTATTTTTTTAAACAAAGTCTCATCTGTTTTTATGGTATAAGTTCTGCTTGGGTGTTTTGTTCTGTTTTTTATTTCTCATACTCTGCACTTAAAACATGCAAAAAGTTTCCTTTATAAATTTAACTACTGCATTCCACATAAAAAATACCCCCTTTCAGGTTGTGTATATTGGCCATTGTAAAAGCATACACACGTTTTGTAATGCTAAAAGCACTCAGGCCCCACTAATTATCTGCTAGCTGTTTTTTTTTTCTTTTTTTTTTCCGAATTTGAGAATGAAAACATGATCTTTAAACTGGCCAACTTTTAGGGGGATTTGGTGTTCCAAACCAAACTGTCAATAGCAGAGAGGGGTTGTACATGTAAAATAAGTTTCTCCCAGACAGAGCCTTTGGTTGCCAAGATCCAGCCTGGAGGGAATTTTTACAGCTGACTTCTTAAAATAGTGGAAGAAGAGTTTACAGTGGAAATATTGAGGCTGGCGTAAGGCATGACCAGCACTTGTCCCTGCAGAGCTGCTCCATGGTGCAAGTAACACCTAAAGCAGAATGGTTGGGCGCCCCCAAGTCCTCAATGGGAGCTTAGCAGTTTGTGTTTCCTCCTGTCCCATCTCAAAGCTGGGTGGTGATTTCTCTCCTGTTCTTTGGGTGTGGAATCGCCCAGGGTGGTGTTCTGTTCCCAGGATCCTGCCCCTGGGAGAGGTGAAGGTGGTGCCTGGGCAGGGGTTGAGCGTGGGCTGCAGGCACCCATCCCTGGTGGAGTCTTGGTGCCTGGAGAAGTTCTGCTAAATCCCTGAGTAGACAGAAAAGCTCCAGCAATTTGAACTTTGAGCAGGCTTCTGTGTTTTGTGGAGAGTAATTTCAGGTATATTTCCAAGAGAAGAAATTCAGCAGTTGTGCATTTCCCTTAAAGCATCACTTAGCTTTAAGGGGTGAATCTGGGTGCCTGCTCCAAGCCCACCAAAATCCTGACCTCTGCCACCTTCTTGCTCTTCAAGTGTCATGAGGGTGACCAAGCTCTAAGCCCCTGCAATGTAAAGAGTTTATTATTGAACTGGAGTGGAAAATCTCTCTCAAGCTTGTGAATCATAGCATAGAAATGGATTCAGGCTGTGGAGGGCTGAGGGAAGAGATGGCAGGATTTTTCCATCCTGTCTGAGAACAACTGGAGTCCTGAACTGAGGGAAAGGACAACTTTCTGAGGCTCTGTCTGGCCTTATTCTCTTTGACTGCTGGAAACAAAATCAGGGCTTGGGGAGGGAAAGGTTATGGCTTGGCTGGAGCTGGCTGCCACACGGTGCTCAGCAGCTCTGTGACTCACTCCGAGATCTCTGTACCACACTTCCTTGGATGTCTCTGACGTGGGAAGGGAAAGAGGAGGAAAGATCAGAATGGGGATGACATGTTGAGAAATTAATGCAGCACGTCCATGGCCAGATGAGCATGTTTCAGAGCAAGTGCTGATAAATGTTCTGTGCTTGAGTAATTACCTGGCGCCACACTCGTGCTGCCGGGCAGGCGTTTCTGATGAGGTCAGTGATATCCCAGCTCGGCCTGGCCAGGGCAGCCTGTGGGCTGGGAATGTCATCTGCTGTCTGGCACACCGAGGGAAGGATAAGGTGATTAATTAGGTTTTCCAGTTGCTTCCTGATACAAGGTCTCTTCAGGAAGATTGTCAGCCTGGGCAGGGAGGTGGCGGGGTGGAACTGCCTTCTGCCTGTTCAGCAAGGATTGGGGCCACCTTGGCTGTGATTTCTGGGCAGACTGGCAGCCACAGAACCCTTCTACCTAGAGAGAAAGGATTATTGTTCATCCTGATCATCCCAATGGCAGCCATGGAGCAAGGCAGTGATGACTCAGGCTCTGTGGTGTCTGCATTTGAGGCTTTGTGAATTCTACTAAAATAACCAATAGAATAATCTTAGCTGTGCAGAAAGGCCCTATCCAACAATAGAGGGAGGGTTTGATGGTTAGAGAAGTGTGAGCAAAGGACTGAAAGGATTTATTTAGGAATAAAATTCAGCACCCTCCATGTATTAATCAGTCCTGAAGGACCACCTGGATGCTGTGCAAAAGGAAACGGAGATGCTGCATCCCACATGCAACTCCTGGCAGAGCATTAATTCTTCAGGAGTGATGGGTTTGCTGAGCAGCTAGGGGAGAGGAGGGCAATATGTTCTTAAAAAAGAAAAATTTCTTGGGAGCCATTAATAACCACAAGCATTTGGGATCTCAGCTCTATGGTTTTTTCAGAGGGGAGAAATAACAAAAGGACACCCAGATATCGTGCGAAGTCAGTAATGCAGCACTGACTCAGCAGCTGGCAAAAGTCCCTCTGAATCATCCCCACTGCCCAAAGCATCTCAACCAGCCTTGCTCCAGAGCTCCAGGCCCTACAGCATGACCCCAGCACATGGCTGGAAGTAGCCTAAAACCTCCTTGAAAAGAAAAATGCATACTGAAAAATAGCATGTGTTGTGAGCATGTCGAACTCCTGAACTAAGGCTGTGATGTGATGGATGTTTGAATCCCCCAGTGGACGGGTTATCATTTGCTTGTCAAACCAGCAGCAGGTTTGGCAGGGAGATTTTGGGGTGCTACTGTAGCCTCTCCCCTGTCCAGCAGAACCGTCTGCCAGGTAAAGCTGTGCTAAACCCCTTGCCCTGGTGTGGCTGAGGTCTAGCACAGCATACCCTAAGTCAGACCTTTCTCTTCCTATATAAAGCTGCAATTCTATAGCTTTATAGCCCCTACAGCCAAGCCTCTTCACAAGTCTAAGGGTTATTTTTAAGAAAACCACCCCTTATGCTGAACGTGCAGGCAGAGGGATCACTGAAAGGCTGTGGAAGCACTGAGTAACATAAGAGGAGCAGAGAGTGTGTGTCAAGGACACCCCCAATATCCCAGTCAGAGGATGGGGGGCCCTGAGCTCCATCCACATGGCCAGGGCCAGCAGCCCCAGGTCAGAGGCAGTGGTGGTGCCTGGCAGGCAGCTCCTTCTCCCTCCTCTCTGCAAGGCACATGTGCTTCCAGGCGCGTCCCCAGTCTAGACTGCTCCAGCTGCCATCCTCCGCACGAGCAGTTTGTCTTGGAGCCCAGCTCCTTCCCCAAAGAAGCAATCCCAGCCAATTCAATCAGTGGGCAGGGAAGAGAGGTGACTGGAAACGCCGATAAAACATATGAAGTGCCTATTTCCAGTCCTCCTCACACCACAAAAGGCTATTTGAGCTGCCAGTCCATGATAAATTAAGGAACACACAACGTGTTTGAATATCTATTAATGAGTGAGCCATATTAATAATAAAAAAGGGGAGACTGCATGCTTTGTATAGTGCATGGGGAAAGTTTTATCCTTGCTCACATAATTGGATCAAATTGTTTTGGTAATTTAACCAGAAATATCCCTGAAGGGAAATCTTGCAGGCAAATGACCAAGCGTCAGAGAGGTCTATTTGTGTAAAATGAAGTTAATTTTGAAGAGAGATAGCTGCTAGTGTGTTCAAGATAAATGTGCTGCAAAGGATCTAGGATTGTACAAATATATACAAGTATTTTTATAATTTTTTAAAAATAGAAAGTGAGTAGTAGAGTAGGTGATCCCTCTATTCCTTCCCAGCCTTTCAGGCTGCCTTCCAAGGTCTGGGATTGCTCCAGCGTCCAAAGCACCCCCTGCAGAGCCTGTTCCTGAAATTTCTCCATAGAAAAGTGGCTTCCATCAAGCTGGAACATTCATATTTTGTTATGTATTGTGCTGCTTCTCTGTGAGGAACCCAGTTGTGGACAAGGACCTTTGTGTGATAGGTATCACACAGACCCAGAGCAAACATCTGTGCCTAGCGAGGAAATCGTGTTATAAGGCTGGCTCTCCACCAGCAGCTCAGCTCCTGCCAGAATTATGAGGGCTTTTTGTTTTTAGACTGGTTGAAACCCAGACGTGTCCAAATTTTAATACGATAAGCTTGCCTTGGAGAAGAAAGTAGCCAAAGTGCTGGGGGCTTTTTCCCCCCTAAAATTCTAGCTTTGTTTTAGGCAGGCTTTGAAGCCATGCAGTGCCTGGCAATGATGGGAAGGTGACGAGAGGTTGGGCAGGCTGTTGAAGATGAGGGTTTTTTCTCCTTCTATTCTCCCAAGCAGGGAATTTTGAATTCCAGTGCTGTCCCTGTAGCTGTTCAGCCCTTCCTTGCTGGTGCTTCCCAGATATATAAGGCTAAAAGGGTAGATTTGTGGCAGTGGCCATTTTTCCTGTAGGAATATTCCTTTTCTTCTTGGAAGAAAACAGTTCAGGTCCTTTATCTGCAGGGGGAATGTCACTCACTGCTCAGAACTTGGTGCCAATGTGGGGAGAAGCTTTTGATGTGTTTTCTGAACACCTTTTTAAGTTGACTTTTACCAGAGGCATTAGCACCTGAGAAAGAATAATGTTCTCTCTTCTGTCCTCAGTCCTAGCAGTGTTTTGCACTCTGAAATACTTTTCTGGGACACAGGAGAACTGTGCCACTAGTGGCTGGGCAGAAATACCTTGGGAAGGCCCTAAAGTAGGTATGTCCATCTGTCAATATGCACTAGAATATCAGTTTAATAATTTCCTGGGAAGTCTCAGCTCTTTGCTGCCAGGCTGAGTACTCACCCCTGGGGAAACAATTACAGGAATCCTTTGCTATCTGACCAAGTTGATTCAGGAGTCATTTCCCAATTTCCAGCACCAGTTCTTGTACTCAGTGCGTTTTAATTCAAGTCTTCCACAGCAGGTTTGGCCTTGCTGAGTTTGGAGCTCAGAAGGCACCTTGCTCCCTGCAGCACTGCTGTGGGCAGAGGAAGCAGTGTGAGGGGGGTCACAGTGTGGGAGAGGCGGAGGTATAAATTAGCAGCAAGAGGAAATGGCAAGATTCCCCATATCCTCAGGCTCCGATGTATTTTCCTTTCAGACAAGTTCGTTTGATTTTCCATTTGCAATTTGAAGCTCAGAGAGCTGAGATTAAAAAAAAAAAAAAAAAAAAAAAGTCCCTTTTGCACCAGAAAGTTTCCCAGCAGCAGCTTAGAATAAATCCTGTAATCATCTGGCGGGATCGGTCATCATTGCTAATGCTACCGTGGGAAACTGAGAAGGGTTAAACTTTATTGTGGCTGCCACGAGCTGCTTCAGGAGCTGCTCGGGCTGGTTAACAGCTCAGCTGTTTGGCTTCAGAAGAGAGAGTATCTGCTGCTGCTGAGTTTCTCCTTGATCTGTGATCTTGCTTTGTGTGATAACAGGGTGGGTGTTCTCTGCCATCAGTTTGCGGGAGCGGGCGAGGAGCCAGAGAGACAAAGAGACAAGAGCCGAGGTGCCAGGAGCAGTCGCTCGCCACAGGAGGCCTCAGCTTTGCTGTCCCTGCAATGGGAGGGCAGGGGCACAGCACTGCTGTCCTCATCCCTGCCAGCAGCAGGAAATCTTCCTGCCCCTTGGAGCACTCCCCTCTGCTCCTGATGGAATTCCCCAGGGCTGCCCTGAAGGGACAGAGGAGAGGTCGCTGGAGGCTGTGTGGCCTGAGCTGGGGGTGGCGGTGTCTCTGGTGAGGGCAGGGGCTGTGTGAGGTCGCTGGAGGCTGTGTGGCCTGAGCTGGGGGTGGAGGTGTCTCTGGTGAGGGCAGGGGCTGTGTGGGCACCTCGCTGACAGACATCTCCTGCTCTCCCTGTGGAACCCTGTGCTGGAGCAGGACTGCATCCATCATTTGTGAGCAGCTGGGCCCCGATCCAGGCCCATTCTCCTCTGCCTCTCCAGATGCACATTTTCCCCAAGTGTATCTCAGCATTGCTCTCCCCAGGCAAAGCCACTTGTGGATGTGGGGCTCTTCCCTGAGAACGTGGGCTGGGTGATGCTGAGGCAGAGGGGAAATGAGTCACTGGGAAGGCACAGTCCATGTCCCATCCAACCCAGCTACCAAGGAACTGGGAAAGGGGAGAAGTACAAAGTGGCCTCACGCTGTGTCACTTCTCACTGTGTCCATCCACTGCCCCAGCCCTCTTCCACCTTGGCTTCAAATTTAGAAGTGGTCACATTCTTACCTTCTGCAGTTCATTAGTGGCTGGCACCTTTTAGCCAGTCATCCCACTGTCACCTTACCCTCTTACTCCCCAAGAAAGGCAAAAATAAGTCTGAAGGGATGACAAATCCAAGCACAGTGGCGGGGCCTCCTGAATTGTGCACTGCTCTGTGCTTTTCCAGCTAGAAGCCTTTCTCTCAACTCTGTATTCCCACTCCAGTGCTGGTATTAACTCTCTCCTTATTTTTGTGTTAGCTTCAGTCTGTTCTGAGCAGCACACATTTTTGGAGAAGGTTTTTGCTCAAGTGGCCAAGTACAATTGCAGCCGCTGTTAGCAGGAAGGTGGAAAAGGTCACCTCAATTCTGGTACACGGAGAACACCGTGCTCAGACAGTTGCATCTCCTCTTTTACTTCTTCTAAGGGTGTAAATGGGGATGGGTTTTGGTGGAGGAGAGATTAAGGACTTGGATTAATCTCTGATAAACCCTATTAAAACCATTGCTGCCTCAGTTGCACTGGATTTGTGGTTTGATAGTCATCGTCCCAACTAAGGGCAGGGGGATATTTTTAATAAAAGCTGGGATTCTGGAGCACAATTATACACGAGGCTTTAAAAACCCCTACAATTACGTGTCTCTTTGCACAGCTGTATAATTACATTATGCATGGGGCCCTGAGCTGGCACAATGGCAGGTTAAAACACTGGGATATTGCTAAAATGGGGGTCAGCTGTATCAATGAGGGTTGTTAATACAAAGAGCAGTAATACTGTGTTAGCCAGCAGTAAGCAGCTGGCAGAGGGGTCAGATGAAGTGTCCCGTGCTATGGAGACTGGACATCTCCGGGGCAGGCAGGGCTGGGCAGCAGCAGTGGCTCATATGGTGACAGAAGTCCATCCCTGTGTGTCACAGGGAGGGACATTAGCTCTTCTGTGCTGTGTAGGTTCTATTAAAACAGGCCTTTTCTTGTTATATTTACCATTTTGTTGTTGTGCTGATAAATTAATAGGGCAGAGGACTCTGGTCTTTGCTTATGCCTTCCTTGACTTTTTTTTCTACTGTGCCAAGTTTGGCTCTTAAAATAAATCACTTTTATACAATTTAATGTGCAGCTTTAGGTGAGGGTTGGTGTAAAATATCAGGGGAGTATTTATCCATCAGTTACCTGTATGGTTCAGGCAAGCTTTCTCTTTCTAAAATCTCTTCCTGAGAAAAAAGAATGAGATTTAGGGTAGGGATCTCCTGGGTTGATTTTTTTTCTTACTGAATCATGCCCTTGATGACTCCTGGGAGCTGCAGTAGACATCATGAGATTTTTTTGCTCCTGCTGATGGGCAGTAGCAGCCTGAGCAGCTCTGAGCAGCAGGACCAGCCTGGCGGTGGCTTCGTGCAGGGAGGAGATCCCACAGGGATGGATGGCCCAGTGGGAAGGGAGCAAGGCCAGGATGTGGCCATGGGGCTCATCCTGCATCTGCTCCATGCACCGCACCTTCATCCCTGTGGAATGTTGCTCCTGGACCTGCTGTCCCACCCACCATGGAGTCGAAGAGCTCAGGCTGCCTTCCAAAGAGCCTTCAGCCAGCTGCTCTGGATGTGTCTCTCCACTGAATGCAGTGGAAACTTGTCTTTTGTAGCAAGCTACCAGAATATAAATCCTCTGGGAGACGCTTTAATTAACAGTTATTCTTGTCAGACATGTTTGGCTTGGGGAAAAAGAAGTTTTGAGGAGTTACTAGGAGTTGCAGATGGCTCTTCAGAAATCTGAATTCTCCAGCCCATTGAAAAAAAAAGAATAAATAGATGAACAAATTCAAAGGAGTTCAAACCTCATTGGTTAAGTATTTTTTCCTAACCTGTTTCAGATCAGTGCACAGCTGGGCTCCTAATATCTCCACTTTGTTCCTACCTCTTCCAAGAGCCCCCACTTCTCTGACATGTATTACTCGACCTTTCCTTTGCTACAGAACCATATTTAAGAATTTCCAGCATTGACACCAATTTTATTACATTTCATAACTTGCTGCTCTAAAATATGAAGTGCCTGGGTTACACATAATCACAGATTATGTTGTAACTCATGTAGGAACCTCCAATACCAAGAGCTGCACGTGTCCAGCTGATAGAGATTAGAACACATAGAGTGCTTCCCTTGCCAAGGTGCTAACACAGAGCAGGAAAACCCAAAGCTGGGAGAGTTGTGTTACCCCTGTGATCCAGCACAGGCCCAGGAGAGGGGAAGCACGAGACACAGCTGTGATCCTGGGAATGCAGGCTGCAGCAGAAAGATGGGGATGCTCTGTCTCTACTCCGTGGAAATACGCATTCCTGCAGATGTTTTTGTGTGTGGCTTTTTATCCCTTTTTAGTAATAGCATAAGTTGAAGGGAGATTTTGGCTGTGGTGCTGTGATTAGTCCTTCTCCCCATGTCTTCTCTGAATGATTGTGTTATGGGTCTCTGTGAAGCACTGATGAGCACTATCCTGTTACAGAACCATCACTAACACCTGTTTTTGTTTTTCTAGGGCCCACCAGGTCTGCCAGGCTTACCAGGACCCCCTGGCAAGAGAGGTTCTCGAGTAAGTGCTTTAAAAACTTCCATCCATTTGTATTTGTATTTGAATTTGAATTTGCCTGTCCTGTGGTTCCAAGGGCTGTTGTAGTTCCTGTGGCTGAGTAATGGTTTCTTCAGGCCCCTCTCTGTTGAGATCTGGTCTCCTTTTCTCTCATACCCTGTTGGAGGTTTTCAGGAGGCCACACTGGTGATTTGCAGCCTCCCTGAGCTAAGGTTTGTCATTGGCAAGGGCTGGGGATGGATGTTTCCAAATGGCTGTCAGAAGAATGAGATCTGTCTGTCTCGTTTTGTTTCCAGTATCTGTTCCTTCTTGCAAACCCACTGCTGAATATTAGCTTTGGCTGCTTTTTGTACTCCCCTTCACTCTCCCCAGCTTGACAAATTGTTTAGTTCAAGGTTCTTAATCAGTGTGACCATGGTCCAGGACCAAGGACACAACACACACAGAGATGAGGTTTTTTGTTCCCCAGACTGAGACCTGCTCTCTGACTCCTTATCAAGCTTTAAAGCAGAATGCCTTATCTGCTCAGGAATTTGCAATGGCTCTCACAGAACTTCTTCCTCCCCAAATGAAATTCTGATGCAGATCTTTGAACACTGAGTGCTGTGCTGAGGAAACATCTGGAGCTGAGTGCTGCAGCTAGCTGTGAGAAAAGCCTTCTGCGCTGGCCTAGCTCTCCCAGGGCTGGGCAGTGTGCCTGACCTGGATACAGCAAAGTGCTGGCACTGTTCTCCTGGCAGCACACTGCTCTTTTCCTGGGAGCACACTGCTCTTTTCCAGTGCTGTCCTACAGGGTACAGCCATGGAGCCCCTTCCCTCAGCCCTGCACTGGTGTGGGCTGGGAATCCAAAGGTGTGAGCCTCTGAGGCTGGAAGAAGGGAATATTTGGATCTGTGATCCAGGCAGCATCCTGGCCTGGCAGCAGAGGGAGATTTCCTCACACATACTTGGCTAAAACTCAACCCCCGTGTAATGTCTTTAAAGAACAAGCAAGAGGCTGAGAGCTAGGAGGCTCGGCATTCCCCCAGGACACTTGTTACACTCCTGTGAGATCTCACAGTAACCAGCAAAAATAAACTCAGCTCCTTTCTCCAACAGGAAAATGCAGGTCTGCAGCACCCCTGGAGCCTGGGCCTGTGTGAACAGCCCTGAAAGCTGATTTGGGCTGTAAGTGAGCGGGGTTAGGCAGCACCAGGCTCTTGTTTATGGATGGGACAAACTGTTCCATTTTAGAGAAGTTTTTAGTGAAGCATCAGCCCTGATATCTTCTGTCACAAGTGCCCAAGCAGCTCCCACATCAGTAGATTGCCCGGAGCTGCCATTTCTTGGCATCTCCATTAAAGCTGGAAATTGGTTCCTACCCCAGCTCATTGCTTTTGAGGGGTGTTTGGTGTTACTTCTGGCAATCCTGTGGTTTGCAAACTAAACTCCAGGTCTGGAGTCCCCAGCTGCATCCCCTGCCTGCTGTATGAGTGGCCAAATTTCAGCTCTACATCCCCATTCCACCTGAGTTTCTTCTGAAGGAAATATCATCATGGAAGCTGTGTCACAGTTGTCTGTTATTGCCCAGCTGTGGCATGCTCCATCCTATATTTAAGATGCTCCTCTGAAAGACAATAAGAAACAGAAGGTTTCTGAGCTCAGTCCCTGCCAGAGGTGCTGAGAATTGGTACAGGAAAGAGTTCCCAGTTAGGAAGTGCTCAGCACAGCTGAGCCTGGCTTGGCTCAGACCTCTACAAAGAGGCTGTGCTAATTTTGGGAGGGGGCAGAAGGGTCACTCTATGAATGTCTGGCCTGGAGCACTGGAGACAGGACTTCTCTGTGCCTAAATTGTTTTGACTTTGGGATGTGTTTCTTCTGGTAATTTTTTCTTGTGTCTCTTTGGGGTTTAGGGATTTCATTGGAAAGTGGAGCTGCCAGGAACTAAGACAGGCTTAGGGGAATTCTTGCATCTTTTGCTTTTGCTGTGCTTGAAAAACTTAAAAATAAATGTGCAAGATTTCAGGGGTCATGTTCTACCTCTCCTAACCTGATCCTCCAAAAAAGCAGCTGCAGAGTTCTTGCACCAGCCCATGGATAAGCCATGAGGTGTCCCATCAGGCTACAGCCCAAGTTTGGAGCTCCAGAGGAGAGGTGGGCATTGCAGGCAACTTTGCAGTGCTGGATGCAGAGGAAAGGAAGGGTCTTTTTGTCACCAGTGCAATTTATGCATGAAATTAATTGCCCTTGTTGTAACTTGTGTAATATTAATGCTTATAACAGTTGCCTGACACATTTGAAAATCCAGTAGCAGCATTTGATTTGTGCCTTTCTGTAGCTGTGAAGTTGCCTCATGTTGATGTGTAGTGCAGAATTTCCACCCCATATTGTCTCCTCCCTTTGTTCCTCCCATATTGGTCAGGATGAAAATAAAATCTCTGATCAGCCTTTGCCTTGAGAGTGAGACTGTGGTGGGTGAGAGTTTGTAAGAAAATCTGGCTGTTCCCATGGATCTGGTTTTCAGCAGATGAGTATCACCAGACCTGCCTGTGTAGTCTGAGGGTGGCTCTTCCATGTAGGCAATGCCACCTGCTTTGCAAAAACACATCCCAGACTCTGTAACAGCATGGGAGAGGCTCTGATTAGGACATATCTCAATATTCAAGAGCAATCAGAGGCAATTCAAGGCAAGGTAGCAGTGTGGATAGTGTGGTAGTCTTGTTGAAAATAACAATTTCTCCATTTTTAAAAGCCAGTCCCCATTCCAGGAGCATGGAATTTGTTGTACACCCTATCACTCCAGCAGCAGGGGCCAACTGAGACAGATTCAGGCTATTCCTGTGCTCTGCTCTCTGCAGCTATGAAAGCAAATTTTCATAACAAGTGAAAACTGGGTGTTTCTTCTTCTCATTATTTCCTGAGGGACTGCAAGAGAAATGAGTTTAAAATTGCAATAGGAATGGCTAATAACACTATCTCAGGAGCTCTCCAATCTCTAGAGATATTGCTGTAGATGGAAGGGTTTCTCTGTCCATATCGTTAGGATGGTTTTCAACTTTCATGTCTGCATTAAAGAATTTGAGACATAAGAAGAGGTTTGTCCACACAGTTTGTTCTTACATAAATGTGCTGTGTGCCTGAACAAGTGTCTGTGTAAGATCTAAGGGAGTGGCTAGCAAGGAAGGATCTCCCTAGCTTTATATGATGTGAAATGGCAGGCAGGTCACGGGATGGCTTTTCCGTGGTGCAAAGTGTGAGTGGTGGCACTGGGGGTGCACAGGGTGACACCCCCAGTTCTGTGCAAGCCGTGTGTGTTGAGCTTTTCTTTCTGACCTTTGCATTTCTTCAAGCATCAGGGTCTCCCAGGGAGGCAGAGGCTGGGATTTGCTCTCAGGGATGTGCCAACAAGCTCTACAAGGAGCTGTCAACAAAGGGCTCTCACTGGAGCAATAATTCCTTCACCACTGTAGCTCGTTCCTGCCTCAGCCCAGGCTCTGTGAGCTTCACCCAGTGCTGTCTGCATGAAGGGCTTTGGACAGCACATCTGCAGCCACCACCAATTGTGGCTCATTCCCCATGTGTAGTTTGACCAGCAAAGTACCCACAGCTTGTGCAGGGCTGCAGAAAAGTGCTGTGAGGAGTGACACTTGGTCTTAAACTCTGCCTTCCAGATGAGGCTGTGCAAATCCAGTCACCTGTTTTGCCTCTGCATGAAGGAAACAGCAAGTCTCAGGTACATGCCAGACAGGAGTCCAGTTCATGGGATGGTTTTGGGTTGAAAGGGACCTTAAAACTCATCTTGTTCCAAACTGACACCATGGCCAGGGAACCTTCCACTAGACCAGGCTGCTCCAAGCCCTGAACAACCTGGCCTTGGTTGTTTGCTCAGCCCTCAGGACAGCAAGAAAAGAGCAACAGCCAAATTTTCCAAAACACTGAAATAATTGAGGAAGCCAGGTCCCACTGGAAGTCACTCCTCTGGCAGGTGAGCAGACACAGCTACAAGAAGTATTTCATCCACAGAACTTGTCAGAGGCAGGATCAGCAATAACAAGCCTGACATGCTGGAATTGCTCTTGGTTTATTTAAACTCTGAGACACCAAGGGGGAAATCCAAATGGATGGGTGAAGGGAATACACATGTGCACTCCCTGATGCTCCAGGATGCACTTGCCATCCTCCTGTGAACCACAGCAGCTTGAAAGACTGGGAGGTCCCAGTGTAACATGTCCCTGTTACATTTGGCCTGTGGTTGGAAAAAATCTCCCTTTCCTTCAAAATGCAGGGCTTCCCTCCTGAAACAAGCAGCTCAGTCAGCTGTGGAGATTCCCCAGTATCCTCATGCCATTAGGAAGATTTTCCAATTTCTGAAAAGTGTTTAAAGAAACAGTTTGTTTGGCTTCACTTCAAATATTTAGCTCTTTTTCAGCAAGCCAGAGGTCACAGTGGGATCTGTAGGTCAAAAGCAGAAAAAGTTGCTTTACTCAGTGAAACCCCAAGACATAATGAGTTTCAAATGAGCGGTCATTCCTCTGACTGGAGCTCTCTAGCATTTAGCAGGAGCTGGGAGGATTTTTTTTCCCCTTCACTGTGAATGCTAGAGGGTTGTGGAGGGAAAATGCACAGTTATACTTTTGTTAATCTTTGTGGGCTGTGAACCACCAGGCATAAAAGCGCTTCTGTGAGCAGGGTCCCATCTCCAGGCATCCCCAAGCTGAACTGGGTGGCTCAGTGTCCTCCTCAAGTAGCATCTTTCATGCAGAAGGCATTCCAGGGAGAGGGGAAACCCCTCCTCACTTGGAGAACACATTCAGGGATTGTTCTGTCTCCGTGCCATGGGGCAGCCTCAGGCTGCTGCTGTCCCATGGTAAAATTTTCCATGGGGTTTCTGGTACAAGGCTTGGAAGGTTTCAGAGATGCAAGTCTGCCTGCTGCTAGATTGGATTGCGCCAGCAGATATAGGAAGCAAAAAGGTGGGGAAATGAGCACCAGAGCAAATAGTGACACATGCACTGGGATTTTTTTCATTTAGTGGTCTCAGCATTGTCCTACCCTGGGTGTAGATAAGAGGAGCAAAACCAATGTATTGATGATAAATATATTTGGGAGAATCCAAATTTCTAGGTGGGAGTGGTAAATTGAATTAATCCAATATAGCAATTAGCTGTTGCTGACAGCTCCTGAGGCAGCTGCTATCCTGTGCTTTTTGTTACTCAGCCCATCTAACTGTACCACACAGCATCGTCCTCCTCTGCCAAGAATGTGGGTGGAATCCCAGATTCAGGACTCACCATGTTGGAACACATCAGGATCAATTATTTTTTACAATTTTTTGGACTGCTGGCAGACTACACCCTTTTCTCTCCATGGTTGCCAGAGCAGTTTCAGATGTCTAACACAAGCCCCAGAACTGGTCACAGCAGTTTCCTTCATGCCAGACTGGACTTCCCACTATCATTTCATCACCAGGATAAGACCACATTGGTCTTCAGGGACAGGATGAGTCTCTGACCCTCCTTTGCCAGGATTACACTGGATGCACTTTGTCAGACTCATTGAACTCGGTGGTGAAGACTCTTTTTTATCTCAAGAGTCTCTGTTTTCATAATCACACTTTTAATCACTAGAAACTGTGACTGGATTCTTCCTCCCTTCTCCCCTCTGTCTGGTTAAAGCTTTTTAGGATTTTGTTGCTGTGCTTGGGTTTACTCTGGAAGAACCTGCACCAGATTTTGCTGGGTGTGTGATTAGTCTTTTATCCAGGGCTCTGGATTGGCAGCTGAGCTTCCCACGTTCCAGATTTCCTCCGGGAAACCATCACTTTCATCTGGGAGTCACCCCACACCGAGCTGCTCCCTCCAGCCTGACACTGCTGTAAGCCTGCCCTGGGCTGTGGTGGAGCACAAACTTCAAATGACTGCACTGCTGTGGGCTTTGGGCCAAGCTGCCTCACTCCAAAGTTGAATTACAGCTGAATTCCCTCCTCAAATCCAGCAGCAGGCTGGATTTATGAACCCTGTTCAGAGCTACCTCGATTATTGCTTATGTGTAAAAGCTTTTTAGGAACTCATCTTTTATAGAGACTTTGCTGGCCTGATTTGTGTCACTTATTATTCATTTTCCTACATATCTGAGACTTGAAAGACTTGGGCTGAAGCATTTTTGCCACCACAGACTTATTGAATTACCTTAAGCAGCACATTCAGTCTCTGTTTCAGTGTTCCACCCAAAAAGGTGGACAGGTTTTGCTGGGAAGATGAATTTTGCTCAGTGTCCAGGTGCTCTGGCTACAGCAGCTGTATGGGTTTTCAAGTGAGGAGATGATACTCAAGCACCTTAATTTTAATTAAAGCTCTTTCAGTTTCACTGGAAATTCACAGACAGGCCAAACAGGAGAATATCAGGTGAAAATTTTGAAGGAAATTAAGAATGGGGCAATAAATGTATTTGGGTTCAGGCTGAAAATTTGGAATGAGTTTAAGAATGGGATGTTAATTTAGGTAAAATCTGCCATTTGAAAAGTTCAGTCTCAATATTTTAATTAAGCAGCCTCTTGCAGAAGAGCAGCATGTTGCAAAATATCACTGAGCATTCAGCAACTGTCTGTACCACAAGATGCAATTAAAAAAGGCATTATTTTCTATTAAAATGCAGTAAAAATAAAACTGAATAGAGATCAGTGCAGTGATATTCTCTAGGAAGACAGCAAGGGCACTGAACTTGGTTGGCAGTGGCATGTTGAACTGCAGTGATTTTCCTCGGAAATCAGACCCTGAAGATTTTGGCCCCAAAATGCTCATTGGAAATCCTACAGCTTGCTGAGTGTTTTTTTATCCCCTTGCCTGTACTCCCCTAACCTGAGGGTACATAAAGACCTCCTCGTGATAGTGTAGAGCTCTCACACGTTCTTGGCAGAATTCTTGAGTTGAATTTTCAGGTTGTTTCATCTCCCAGGAACGTGTTCAAGAGGACTTAGAATTGTTATTACTCTGCCTGAAAGGTTAGAAGATCTTCTGTGCTGTGTATAATCCAGGCATAAACTATTCTTAGCTGCTTATTCCAGATAATTCCTTAAATAGTCTTTGGAAAATATGCAGGGTGCTTTTAAAATATGATGTAAAATGAGATACTGGTGTATGTGATTTGAGGTAGATACTCTGACAGTGTCACTGTCTTGTGAGAACTAAGGAAAAAAAAAGATTTAACTATGTGAAATATGGATTTAAAGGGTTTACAGGGACTTACTGCTATTCCTACTGTTTTGCTGTCTGATTATCCATTTTCTTTCTAACCTCTAAAGGCAAAAATCCGGTTGGCTTGTAGGGAAAATGACTTGACCCCAAAGAACTGAACAATTTTCCTTTAGTAATTACTTCTGTTCTCTTCAATTCTAAGCAAAAAAAAAAAAAGTAGTTAACACCCCCGCACACTTCCGCTCCCCTCTGCCTGCTACCATCCCCTTCTGCTGGAGCTTGGACTCCCCTGACCTGTGGAATGTTTGGTTTACCCAAATTATCTCAGTGTCATGACATGTCCTGTGGTGACAGACACACATCCCCTTCCCCAGAGGCCGGTGGGAACCCACAGCTGAGTTTCCCTCCATGGGTGCCAGGAGAGTCCCGGTGCCACCATCCCCTGCCAGGGCACCCCAGGGCTCTGGGGCTAAAGTCTGGCACAGCCAAGCCAGAGGCTTTTGGCTGCTCCAGGATTCATGCAGATTCCCCCCATCTCCTTCTGACTCTTTTTTGTGTTTGTTGTGTGTTTTAGGGTCCTCCAGGTCCCCATGGAAACCCTGGCTCACCTGGCCCCCCAGGACTGAAAGTAAGTATTAGCTGGTGCGAGGAGCTTTCACCTCCCCATCCCACAGGACATCCTGGGGGAAGGACAGATTCCTTTCCTCCTGCTCTGGACAAAAAGACAGTAGCTGAAGCCATCTCTCCCTGCCTCCTGCTCTCACAGGGGTTCTCCAGCAGCACAGCTGAGGCCTTTTCCTGTGCCAGACCCTGCTCTGTGCCTCCATCCTTGCTTCTCCTGAATTTCAGACTGCCAAATGAGGATCCTGCTTAAGCTATGCCTGTGCCAGGGCACAAACTGCTATGCTAAGGGCAGTGGAGTCCTTCCTCCAGAGCTCCACATGCTCTGAATTTCTTTGCTTTCTCATTTCCCTCCTCTGGATTTTGCAGCTTGCTCCTCTCCCTTTGTGTCTGGGTAGTGGCAGGAGTGCCTGGCAGCACCCAGCATCTTCCTCTGCTTTCCTGCTCCTGAAACTCCTTCCTCTGTCTTTCCCTCTCCAGAGTTTCTTGAAACTCTGAGCTCCATCAGTCCTCCCAAACCGATCTCATGGCTTCCTCCTAGATGCCCTCACCTCTCCCAGGAGGGCTCACAGACCTCCTGCAGTGCCAGGGGCTCTGTGTTTTGTCCTTTTCTCCTGCACACTCATTCCCTCCTGGGGCACAGCGAGGTGGGAGTCACCCCCTGCAGCTGGACCCTCTCCCTTTTCCTGGGATTGAGCACAGATGTGGCTCTGGAGGGGTCCTAACCCAGTGTGCAGCAAAACACTTCCAAAAGGTGTTTTAATCCCCAGCTCAGTCTGTGTATAAGGCTTTGTGTTACCTAAAGACTTCAGTTCCTGGAAAACTGGTTTGGATTGCTTTGGTATGATTGTTTACAAAGGAATAGGTTTATATTTTATAACATCTGTGTTGGACTAAAGAACAACAGAGTTTGGAAAGGCAATACTTAGCAGAGATTTTTCAGTACCAGGGACGCTCAGCCAAACAGAGAAAGGTGAGAGCAACAGTTCTGTCTTTTCATGATCTCATCAGTAGGCAGAGATGTTATGAGCACTATTGATGCTCTGGGAAAAAGATTCTGGAAACTTGGCATGCTGCCTCTACGTGATTAAAAATTAGGCACTGGAGACATGCTGGTGAACAGCAGCTGGTTTAAATTCCACATATGGCCTGAAAAGTGAGCCTGTAAAAGTTCTACATCTTAGTGCTCTGCATTTATTCTCCATCAATGACTTCCAGATCACACTTGTTGAGTTTTATAAGTCAAATCAAACTTCTTTTATCTAACTTCCAGGCCTGAAAATCCAGCCTGGTCCAAGCTGTAGAGTCAAACTATGATTCTATGTTACAGGATCTTTTTAAAACACTTTCAGTCTAATGACTTGTTAGAAATCATCATTTGGCTATAAAGCTACATTCAGTTGGTCACCTTATAAAAATTAAGTCTTACTATAAGCATTTTTCCTCCATCTCAGTGCAGTCTGGCAGCAGGAAGTCTCAGTGGATGGAGAGCTGTAAGTCTGCAGCAGAAAACTGGTGTCATCAGGATCTGTGATATATTTTAATTTTGTCCAGCCACCATTTGCAGCATTGGTCTGTTCACGGTGCTTTGTCAAAGGAAATATTAGGTTTGCAATGGGATGTGAGAGCTGGAGCTCAGCCCAGGCCACGGGGAAGGTTCACCTCTAGCAGGGAGAGCCTGGTGAGCTGTGGTGACATCATCTCTGCCTCAGAAATGCTCTTTGGAAGGTGTGGATCAGATGCCAGAGTTTTGACTCCCCTCCTTCCCTTCAATTCTCTGGTGCTACAGCGGTCCCAGAAAATGGACTTTGCCCCCAAAAGTGGTTTTCACCCCCTTGTGTTTTAACTGCCTGTAAAACTTCACCTGGGAACGGATGCCTTCATCATAAGATCACCAAAGAATGGTTTGGGTTGGAACCTGAAATATCATCTCACTCCAGCCCCCTGCCATGAGTAGGGACAGCCCAGGTCACTCAGAGCTCCATCCAACCTGGCCTTGGACACTTTCAGAGGTGGGAATCTTCTTAACAGACCCAGCACATGGCAGAAATTAAGGATTTTTGAAAGCTCAGCCTCCACAACAGGGCAAAGCAGCTCCAAGTGGAGCTTCTCTTGCTGAGAGCCATCAAGTGGCTGCTGGGCTTGGTCTGCCTTAGACAGCAGTTAATGCCACAGAAAAAAAACAAGCAATCTAAGAAAGGAAATTGAAGTTTCCAGATAGATACAGCCTGGAAACCATGACTAACACCAAGTCATTGTCATTTAAGAGGGGACCCAGGAGCATAATTTTTATCAGCTGAATGTAATTTTTATCAGCTGAACCAGAGCCCTTGTAAGGTTGGGCAGCCCTGTGCAAGGGCTGTGCTGTGGCACTGCAGGCTCTGGGTGTTTCTCTGTCTCTCCTGCCTGGCTGTAGTGTTTTAGCTGTGTTTCTGCATTTCACAGTCAACCCTGTGCAGAGCCCACTTTATTCTCACCACTGGAGCTGAGCACTTGTAATTCCCTGGACTTAGGAAGCTGATCTTTTGCACAGAGCTGTTTGTAGCTCTTGAGCCAAAATCCTGCTGATCTGCTTGGGCATGGTTCCACTGACTCCAGTGGCATTACACCTGCTTGTCCCACCTGGGGATTTGGCCTGTGGTGCTTAGCTCAGCAATTCATGATGTGAAATTTCTTAAAGGGGGATTCTTGATGCTTTCTGCATTCTGCCTGTTGTCCTTGGCAGCTGTAAAATTGCATCTGGTTGGCAGAGACTGATTATTGCAGATAACCTCTGCAGCAGCTGTAGCCACAGGCTGGGCTGGGGTCCTGACTGGGTCTGTCACCTGAAAGCTGCAGGGGGACAGGAGGGAGTTTTTGCTAACCACTGGATGTAGCTCTCAGGATGCCCTAAAAGCATTTGAGATGGGGAAGATGGTCAGACAAGGTGTGTTTTCAAAAGCCATTGCAAGAGTTGGGTTTGCATCTCTCACCTGGAGGCTTTTGGCATCAGGTGTTAGGATGATTTGATGCTCTGGATAAATCTCTTCTTAAAGCACTTGAAAAATATTGAATTTTCATTTTAGTGAATGATTTTTCTCTCCAAGCTAGCTCATCAGTTTGGCTCACTGATGTTTAAAATAGTATTAGTGGGGTTGCAAAACTGAGATGTTTAAATTTCACAGCTCTAGACATCTCCCAGGTAGGAAAAAATCCCAGAAGAAAACAGTTTCTTCCTTTACAAGAGGAAGAAGTGTTCTCAGTAAGTTAGGAGGAGAAAGAGAGAAGCTTGTGAGAAAGGTGCTCTCGCTTGATTATGGACAAGACTTAGGTTAATTCCCCTGTTGCTGTGTAAGAAGACTAAAGCAATTAATCCAAAATTTCAGCCCTCACATCCAGCTGGTCCCATTGCTTGATCTTGGGGACATCTGATCCTGCTTGTGGCTGAGTTCTCCACCTGTGTGATGGTCTCAGCAGTGCTGAACACAGAACCAGTGCAAAGCAGATATTTGGCTAATGTGATCTGCAGCTTCCCAGGAGAAAACACAAGTTCTTTTCCACGTCTCAAAGTCATTGCATGGAGCACATGGGAAGAATCAGGGAAAGTGGTGGGTGTTTACCTGCTGAAGCAAATTAATTTTGCAGAGTAGAAATGAACACCCAGGGCTGCTCTAATCTGTTCCCAGCAGTGGCAGCACCCACTGACTGTTCTGAGGCTCAAGGAGTGGGAGAATTGCCCTGATAACAGCTGCATGCAAAGCAAGATTATCTGCATGACTTCATTTACTGTTTGGAAAGCCGGCAGCCTTCATTCAGAATTTGTGCAGATACATCTGCCTTGGATCAGCAGTGCTCCCTACAGTCCAGAGCCAAGCAGTCTCACTCCTGAGTCTCACAGCTTGCAGTGGATGCTGGAGGAGGAGGAGAATGGGGGATTACACCCAGTGCAAGGTGGGAAATACACGTGGAATGTACTGTGTAGAAAAGCAGCTCAGCTGGCTGTGACCAGAGCTCTGTGCTACTCATGAGAAATGCCAGTTAATAACCAGTATTGCTCTTTTCTGGGTCTCCCCTTCCCTCCAAGACATTAATTAAGGTTCCCAGCTGTCCCGTGCTGATGTGGCACGCAGAGGTTGTGGCTTGTTTATGATTCATGGGGTGTTAAATAGTGACTGATCCTGGGAGATACCCATCTTGGCTGTGCCAGAAGAGATGTGTGCTAAGCTTTATCTCTCCCCTACCCAAAGAAGCTGGCACACTTCAGTCTCTTCTAGATTTTTCTACTTGCATCTCTCCCTGTTAGGTCCTCACATTGCCTTTCCACCTCTTGAGAATCTGAAGTGGGATTTCCAAAGGAATCTGCTGGAATTAGATGATCAAATGCTGCTGAGATTCCAGCCTGTGTTTGTCAGAAGATCACAGCCTCAAACAGTAATTTCCCTCATCACGGTTGTTAAGGAGGAAAATAAGGAATACTGCCACTTAAGGTCAAGTGTGCCGCTCTCTGCCAGCCTGGGAGCCTCACAATTGCTCTGCCTGTTGGGGGTGTCTAATTAGTACAACTTTCTCTGTGGTCTCATCTGTTCCTCACAGTTAAAAAAGCAACGGCATCTAGTGAATTGTCGAGAAGGATGGTTCAGCCCCAGTAATAGGCTTGGTAATTATTTTTGTGATGGTAGTTGTAGACAAGGAAGGAATCGCAGCTGTCTGGTCTAATAAGTATCAAAAGTCCTGACATTGCTTTCTTCCAGTCATCCTTTCTTTAGCCAATTGAATACTGTCAACTACTATTTAAAACTCAACTCTTAAGCAGCAGCAATCACTCACCAAATCCACCCCCAGCAAAACAGCTATTCCAGGCCACTTTAATACATTTGTGATGTCAGGGAAGACTGGGATAAAACAAAATGTTTTTCTAATTTGGAGGCTTGGTGAAAGCAGAACCACATCTGTGGGCTGGGCCCTTGGATTATGTCACTAATGCAAGTTTTTCATTTCAGGGTCAGAAGGGTGATCCTGGGCTGTCACCAGGAAAAGCTCGCAATGGGCAGAAGGTGAGATGTCACCCCGAGGCCATGGTGGGCTTTTAGAAGTGTGCACACACACAGGGGTCTGTACTGCAGCCACAAGCATCCCAGCTGCTCAAGTAGACTTAGGACTGAGAAATAAGGCTTAGATCTTGGATTCAGGACTGAAGAGAGGGAGCTGTCAGTGATCATAGTGCACTGGGGTGCCACCTGCCATGGTGGTGTTGTCTGAGTGTTTCTCCAGTTTATCCACAATCTGCAGCCCAGCTGAAGTCCCTGCTGCCACAGGCACGTGGCTGCTTCAGCCAAGTGTTTCAAGTGGCACATCTGAGGTACATCCACACTCTGGGCATGCAGCTGCAGCAAGAGGCAATCCCAGTGTAAGGAAGAAAAACCTTGGAGGCCAAGGAAAGGATGTTCTTGCCGAGGAGCTGAGGAACAGGGGTTTGCCTCCTGCTGCAGCCCCATCAGGGTAGAATTTCTTGGTGGAGACGTATGAGATCTCACTGAGGGGCTTCCACCAAGGGCTGCTCAAACCAACACGAAGCACCCAGCTGGGAAGGAAAGCTGCTTTCTGGGTCTAGCAGTTTTTAGGATCAGAGTTCTGCTAATTCCTTTCAATAAGTTACAACTCCCATTTTTGCTGTTTCGCCCCTGGGTGATTTTTACTGAGGCAACAAGCCCTCACAGAATTCTAGAAATGAGCAGTAGGGCAATCAGGGCTCCACATCATCTACCCCAGTTAGCTCTTTCAGTGATGCCTGCACAATCCTTGGAAACTCGTGGCCAGGGCAGAAGCCTGGTTCTCTTCCTCTCACCACAAACCTTGCTATAAATGCACAGCTCATAGAAAGCACCAGCCATAAGGAGCTTGGGCCCTTCATTTGACACCAGATGCCTCCATGAAGGCGATGCTAGAAAACATTCAGAAGGCTTGGCCTGAAATAAGGCTTTAACTTAACACCATGAGATGTCTTTTGAAATTTCTGGTAGTGCATCATGTGGAAATCATCCACATTTAGGGTCTGGAACGCTTTTCTTGAAGACAATGTTGGTGTAAAAAAGGGAGAGATCCAGATCACCTTTAGCTTGTGTTAACAAGGCTTTATTCCTGATAGCAGTCAGAATAAGGAGTTTCCAGCAGGAGTTTGGAGTGATGCCTAATTTTCAAGCTAGATACTGGAAATTTGTTGGATTTCAGTAAGAAGGCACTCCAGGGTTTTTTGATCCAGATCAGAGGAGGCCAAGTGGGCTCACACAGGCGGGTTGGGTGTTGGAGAGGTCTCACAGCAATGCGCTCATCCGTTCTGAGATGGTTTGGGTTTGCCAGCTGGGATGTGATGCAATCCCTTTTCAGAAGTACAGACCACTGAACAAACCCTCCCACAGCAGCCTGCAAAGGTTCAATCCATGTCAGACGGGCAGGTTAAATAATTGCAGCACCAGCACCATCCGAACGGGAGCCATGGGCTGAGCCAGGCCAGTAGCAGAGTGTGAGAGCAAATCACAGGATTTGGCAGGAGGTACCTGTTGTTCTTATTGCATTTAAAGTCTAAAATTTCCTTGCCTTGGCGATTTCAATGCCTATTGAAAGGCGAATGAAGCATGTGACTGAATGAGATCATTGAGGGGAAAAAAAGCGCATTCATTCTGCTTGCGAAAAGCTGGACTCCAGCAGCAGCTGCCATTAATTAACTGGGGTTATTATTTATATGAGCCAGTTAATAGAGATGTTGTTTAAATCTACTCTTCTTATCCAGTCAGGTTTTGAGGAGTTGTGATTAGAACCAGAAATATCAGTAGCTGGGGGCTGGTGTCAGCAAAATAATTGCGGTAACTGTAGTAGGCACAGGGAAAATGTTGCTGAAAACTAATTGGACTTGCTTCCTTCCTACAGGGAGACGTGGGCTTACCTGGTTTAACTGGGTTCCCTGGACCACCTGGTAGAAAGGTAAGAGTGTTCTTTTTTAGTGAATTAGATCAGTAATTTTATTTTAAAATTTTCTTCTTTAACTCTGCCTGAAAGATTTTATTAAAGTCCCAGTATGCATCCAAGGAGCCTTATGCCTGTTTAGCAGGTGTAAAACCTAGGGAGATAGGCTGAAACAACTGCCTAAAAACTATGTAAAAGTACAAAATGAAATTCTGGGTACAGAATTCTGTTCCTTCTTTGTATTCTGTATCTCTCTGCACCCTGACACTCAGCAAGCCCAATTTAGGCCTGGTACAGCCAGTGCATTATTTAAAGGGATCTCCAAACAACAGCAATACTCAAAAGATGGATTCAGAAAAGTACTAGCATTCCAAGGAAACCACAACTGTTATCCTGGTAAAGCACATTTCAAAAACGTACCTGTGTGCCTTCCCTCTTTATTTTGCTTGTCAGCACTGGTCAGGTTTTCCTTTATTTGCTTCCATATTTGTGCTTCAACACCATTAACATCACAAACAACACAATTTATGCCTAGAAAAGGGTATGTAAGGATAGAACACCAGATGCATCCCTGTTTTCCTGAGGCAGTAGGGTGTGTGTCTCTATCCATGCATTCAAGCCTGCACAGCAGTACCTCAGCCATCCACACCTGTAGCTCAGGTCTTCCATAGATCAAGGATATTTCAGCTCAGTCTCCAGTTCCATGATTGGTAGGTTGGTTTCTTTCTTTGGAAGCAGGGCCTGTGGCAGGGAGCTGTTTGAGTGGGGCTCAGTGGCCATGACTCCCCTTCTGAGCAAGCCAATATTGCCACAGCTAAATGGAACAGTTAAAACTGGCATCTTGTTTCAATCACTTCATCAGTCAATGGGCCATTGACCATACACTACTCCTCAGGTCAATGAGCTGCACACAAACACCTCCTTGGGTATGTTTTAAGACTCCAAGGAGAGAAAGAAGGTGTGGAGGAGGCTGGAAGGAACCCTCCCTCTCCACGATTAGTTGTTGTACGCTTTATACTAGAACCAAATTGCCAAGAGGAGGGCTGAGTTTATTTTTCTCCTCCAAGGCTGGTCACGCTTGGGGTGCCGTGTGGAGTAGGAGCAATTGAGTGATTAATTACGGATCTTTTGCTGTCACAAACAAGTTCTAACTAATAGGGTGCAAAGAATACCATTTTCCTGGTATAACAGCTCATAAAACGAAACCTTGTGGTTACGATCAGCAAAATGCAATGTCAGGAGTGCAAGCACTCATAGTGGAAAAAGCAGAAAAGGAATAGGAGATTGAACAAACATTCCCAAGTCCAGCACATGGCCTTCACATCTGATCTTAGCTCCCACAGGACAGGGTAAAGGCAGGGGTATGCTTCTGTTTCTTCAAGTAATGAGCAAGTTGGATGTTGAAACTTTTCCTTTGGTGCAGCTTAAAAACACCTCCCAGTAGCACTAGTCTGGCAGTGGGTTTGGTGTAACCTGGCTTTTATTAGCATCTTGCATTAAGAAAAATTTACAGCTGTTGGAGAAATGTTTGGGAAAAAAAATTCTTTTTTTTTTTTTTTAATCTGGGTTCCCTGCTGGCATTCTCCCACTGAAAATACACTGGTGCTTGGCTACTGGAAAACAGCAGCACCTTGGAAATGGACATCCCTCTTCTCACTCCATGGAGGCGCTGCAAAGAGGGCTCTCAGGGCTTTGATCAGAGAACACCATGTAGAAACCTTCAAATGGGCAAAATATTTCACCAGGAGAAGCAAAATGCTTTTCCACTAAATGAAACCACATCTCAGCAGCGTGAGCTGGAGCCACAAGCAGCAGCATGTGGTTTTGGATAGTGTGGCTCACTCCTCAGTGCCTGCCTTGGGAATGCTGACAGATTGGGCTTGCAGGACTGGACAGGCTGATCTCACAGCACCCTTGAAGTCATTGTAGCTCCACACACCTACGAGTACATGAAACTTCCTTAGAAGCAGCAGGTGTATTTCTCATCCTCCTCAGAGCAAATGGTGCTTTTGCAGACCAGGAAGGGTGGCAGGATGTTCTCTCTGGTGCCTGTGAGGTATCTGTGGGCTTTGGCTATTGGTTTGGGGCTGCAGACCACAGCTGCCTTGGAGATAGATCTCAGCAGAGCAGCATCATTGCTCCAGAGGAGAAAACAGCAGTGAGAGAGGCAAAGCTTCATTAGAGTCAGAGAGCAAAGACAGAGCTGGGAAGTGGTCACTGCTTCAAAACATCCTGAATGCAGGTCTCATTCCCTGGCCCCTTTATTCTTCACATTTCCTACCAAAGTGCAGGATGATCCCTTTAGCTAGGAGAGAGTAGATTATAAATATCATCACAGATGAGTAAATTCTTCACTGGACTGCAATTTCCTTTCTAAATCACAGCCCTTTGTGTGGAGTGCCCTGTAATCATCAGGAAGTGTTCAGATAAAAGAGCAAATGGAGTTGTTTTCATACCCTCTGCCCTGTCATTTTAGTGCTATTTGAAGAGGATTTTAGCAGGTAAATACTTTCACACTGCAGCCCGCTTTAACATACAGAAGCTTTTTTCGTTTTCCCTTATTGCAATTCACCTGAGGCAGAAATAACTGGGGTATATTGTGAAGAAATACGTTTGAAACTCTCCTGAGCCCAGAATATGTAGTGAGGAGGATATTTAATGTAACAGAACAGTAGCAGGATGTCTTCATATTTAACCTAAGTGCCATTCACTTACCACTACAGAACTGGTGCAGAATTTAGTTCAGGATGTGCTTTGAGCATCTCAAGGGACCATCATGCCATCACCTACTTTGGGTGGACATTACAGGCTCAAAACACCCATCCTGCAGAAACCCAGCCTGGAGCAGAATGGGTCAGAGCAGCCAAGCCAGGCACATATTTCTTATCAGTGGAAAAGACAGATATTTCTAAGCTTGGTGCTCCAGTTGCCTAGAGACAAGATAGCTCCTGCTCCAGACTGGAAGAACTGGGCAGAGGTCCCAGGAGAAAACCCCATGGAAATCTAAATTCCAGGGAATGACTGGGGATGCTGAACCCAGGGATGTTTCTGTTGGCAGCTCTCACCTTCAGGCCAGACACCCAACCAGGGTGGAGCATCCTCCCTCCTTTCTGCTGAGCCTCTGTCAGGGAGCCAGGGAGAGGATGAGCAGGAGAGCATTTGATGGGGCAGATTCCTGGAGAGGGGCAGGGAATGCTCTGTGCTGGTCCTGCTCCAGTGAGGAGCCTCTGACTGAAATGCTCTCAACAGCATTTGGAAAAAGGACTCTCGAGGCGGTTCAAACACAGATCTTTCAGGTCAGCCTGGTCAGAAGGTGCAGCTCTGTCCAGAGCCATGGTATATCAGCAAAACCAAGCAGGACAGAACTGGGAGAAGGGAATCAACATCCTTCCAGGTCAGACTGTCTGAAATAACAAGGCAGGAGGAATGCAAAGGGGAGCAGGTAGTGGCCAGGACGGCTGAGAGCGTTGCACACCCTGCCAGCAAAGGCTCAGGCTGCAGGTCTGGAATAACCTGTGGGAAGAATAAAAAAGCTGTTAATCAGAGGTGTGGATCTGGGAGCAGAAACAGTCCTGGGTTCGTGTGGTGAGTGGAGCCAAAGGCCAAGGGCTCAGTCACCCTGTGACTGGTGATGACTTTCAGAGCAGGGACACTCCCTGAGGGGCTCACACACAGGTGAGATGAGCTGCAGCCCTGGCCAGGACAAGGGTGAGTAGCAGGGACTGAGCTACAAGTAGTTGTAACCTACTCTTGAAAGCAATTTGTTATTTCTCTAGTATTTGTGCAAGGATTGTTCCATGTTCATTTTTTTCTCTCCCATTTGTTTCAAGTTAAATTTTCTGCTTTTTTTTTTTTTTTTTTTTTTTTTAATCTTGCTGACAGCCCATCTAAACAGTCATCTGTTTAAACTGTATTTAATCTCCTGATCTGCTTCTCTTGATGGAAGTTTGTTTTAAACAGCTGAACCAGGATAATAAAGAGGGAAAAAATCTGATGTGTCCATCACATACAGAATTCACTCTGTTTGAAGGGAAAACTCTATGTAAATCCAGGAGAAAGCAAACTCCCTTAAAAGACACACAGTGCCCAGTCTGCAGTCAAACAGCCTGCCCTTGTCCTGCTTCAGTGTCTACAACCCCCAAAAATGCAGAATACTGACAAACTGAAGCAGGATTATGAAAGACCTGTGAGAATGATTTGAAGCCTGAAACCCTTGCCAGTAAGCAAGGTGGATTAAGGAACTCATTCTAATTAATTCAGCAGCGAGGGCAGGTTGAGAGGCAGCTCGCTTACAATTTTTAGTAGCTTCATAATGAAAGACTCTGGATCTTGTAATAATTAGATTAGAAAAGCTGGAAGCTAGACAAGTTCAAGGTAGAAAAATTGGAGTTTCCTGTGACAGTACATGCTTGTTTTGGTGTTTCCTGTGGCATTTCAAACTCTAAAGCAAAAGTAAGAGCTCTGAAACACAAGTGGCTCATGTTGCTGTAGTCCAAAGCCAATATTTCATTCTGTGGGTCTGTGGTTTCCTGAGGATTAAGGGCAGCCCTGCTCAAGGTGTAGATTACGAATAGATCTGAGTGTGGAGATCACTCCAAATGTGTTCATGGAGCAATTCCTTCTGGAGTATGTACCACCCCAGACCACAGCAGGGCACATCAGCTGTTTGTGTGGTGCAAACACAAAGCAGCTTGATAAAAGTTGTCGTGGTTGTGTAATGCTGTCTAAAATCCTGCTTCTCCCCAGAACTTTATTTCTACCTGCAAAGAGAAATAAAAACCAAACTCTGATTTTTTTACTGTATTTTTGTTTCTTAGTATTCATCTCTTCCATCCTATTTTGACAGGGATATAAAGGCTACCCTGGACCACTGGGTCACCCTGGAGACCAGGTGAGTTTTCCCACTTCCCAACAGGGGAGCTTTAAGGAGGGATGGATTTTCTGGCTGTGATGCTGGTTTGGCTCTGGTGCAGCCTGCTTGGTGTGGACAGCCAGGTCCTTCCAGGGCAGGTGGGCACGCATGGGGAGCTGGCTACACACACACTGGGATCTGTGCACACACACTGGGATCTGTGCACACACACAGGACCCACCATCAATGGCATGGCGGGAGGAGATTGCCTTGGAGTTTCTAAATTTAATTTCTAATTTTTACTGCTCAGCCACACTAAGTTTACTTGGGGGAAGAAAAACCAGCTTGTCATCCTCCCCTTTATTTGTCTTTTTACATTAATTTCACCTGGACTTTAGTAACCACACTGTGTTGAGTATATGTGATTCACTTCCCAAAGCCCATTCACCCCTCCCCTTTCTCCCCCTTCACTATTTGGTTAAGTTTGATGTTTGCAATGCAGTAAAAAAAAAAAAAGAAAAGAAAAAAAAGGCAATGAATAGCAGGCCCTGTTAGCAATGATGTTAAAGGATATTATACATGAATCCATTTAGTTTTGAAGAATTTTGGCAGTGCTTTCCCACCAGCAAAACGGTTCCATATGCCAGATATAGATGCAGCCTTACACCTTCTCTTAGTGTCCTTGTTCCAGATTCTCTGCTGCTTTTCCCCAAATGAAGGGAGAAGGAGAAACAGCAGCACTTGCTCAGTGCATGGACCTGTTGACTTGGCTTCAGTGTGTCTTCTCCCCTTGTTAATTTACTTCATTATCTACTCTTACTATTGTTTTCCTCTCTATAAATGTTAATCAGGTTAATAAATTCCACAATCATTCAGATAAAAACACTCCCCAGGTGGGACATTCACTTGACTTTTTGTGCCTTTTCTTTTTTTCTCTCCAAAGGGCGAGCGAGGACCAGCTGGAAGTCCAGGTGCCAAAGGTTATCCTGGCAGGCAGGTGCAGTAAATCTCATCGTGCTGTGCACAGAGTAGGGATTTGGGTGTGCAGGTAGCTAAAGATATGCCCCACTAAGGACAGTGCAGTCCTCTAGAAAATGTTGGTATATCTGCACATTTGACCTCGGAATATTTTCATTCTTTTCCCCCTCAAGATGTTGTGCCAGTAACACAGTCTTTCAACTCTGAAATGCTGTTAGAAAGTATTTTGTGCCTATGGTAGATAAAACCTGAATTCCTACAGCAAATTATGACAGATTCTTCTTCAGTATAACAACAGGGAGAAAGCAGAACAGCAGAGCAGAGAAAAACACATGCATGCTGCTAACCCTTCTTTTCTAGACATATTTTGCACCTAATGTTGGACAAATTAGAAACCTGGGATGGAAAAAAGGTGTATTTACTATTGGAGGAGGAGATTTAGATGAACTCTCCCTAGTAAAATGCACTGGCATAAACCTATGTATACACACACAAAGTTATGCATGAACTGTAAATATATATATATATATATATAAAAATCATATTTGCAGCTGCAAAAAATATGATGAGAGACAATCAAGTCACTGTTCTCATGCTGAAAAAAATTACACAAAGACAACTTTGGGAATGGAGGAGTGTGCATTGGGTAATGGATCAAGATTGGACACTTTGTTCTCCTACTGATGTAAGATGCTGAGTAGTGTAAAGGAAAGAGGAGAATTTGTAATGTAATGTAAGACCCTAAAAAATGGAATCTCTTGGAGGACAGAACATGCAGCCCCATAACATTTTGTGGTGAAGTGAGTTTTGTCAGGGGTTTCTAAAATGGACACATTTAACGTTGGATTCTGCCACGTTTATCTGTAATTCAAGAGTCCAGGCAGATGTCAAAGATCCCAAACGCTCTGTCCTGAGCTTTCAGACTTATCATGAGTTTGGATGTGAATTTTTTATGCAGATGTGTAGGTTATTGGATTAAACATGAACTAGACCTGCAGAACGAGTCTGTGACTCTCTGCCTCAGACTGTCAATAATGCATGACCCATTTTAAATTGAAAATCAAACTGATACCTTGCTTAGCACACTGGAGAGAGCAGATGGCAGAACTGGATGGGAGCTTTATGCACCTGACTAAAGGCTCCATTCATACTCTGAAAGGCTGTTAGAGCTGAGCATGCCAAAGAGTCTTCTAGGTGTGAATGTGTGTTAGATGACTAATAAGAAAAGGTCCAAGAGATTTTGGACATACAAGGTTAATGAATGCTGTTCATCAATTCAGCCCATCAGATAAGCAGGATGAAATCTGTGCCTTGACATTCAAAGAACAAATCTGCCTTCTTAAAAACGTGGTTTGGGTCAGGAAAGTGACTTTTTTATTTTTTTAAGGCAGTTTTTTTCAGCCTATCTGAATGCTGTGTGTATCCTGCATCAGAGCTGTTTACTTTACTGAGATTTTACTACTTGTTACTCCTGTCAGCTGTGCTGGCTCTGCAGCGATGGGAGAGTGCTTGGCTGGGGTTTGGTTTGTGCATCACAGGCAGGATTGTAACTTCACCCTGATGCCTGAAATCTTTGGCAATGATGCAGGAGCCAGGAAAGAGCACAACCCAACTTTCACATCCCAGCCTGAGCCTGCAGTGCTGCTAGCTGAAGAAAATATGGACTTAGCCTTTTTTTTCTGCCCCCACCCCCCTCCCCAGAAAATCCCATCAAAATTTGGAACTAGAAAAAAAAAATTTGATCTAGAAACTTTCTAGAAGGCAATAAACATGAAAATTTATTTTGCATTTTCACACTTTTCTTCTTTGCAGTGTTTTGAGTGAGCAGCATTAGGCATAGAATAAAAATGGGGAATGAATTTTCAATTATTTCCATAGCTGATGCTGCAAAGGGTTAGAGATATAGAGATACAGTACCTGCATTGCTAAGTGACTTTCTAGGCTGTAGAAATTTCTCATTGCATCAGTGTTCCCATTGCAGGTATTGGAATACATTTGCTATGCCTGTGTTTGCTTAGGCAGGAAGCTGTTGGGCACAGAGCATCACTGTGCCTCACATCCCAAGTGTAACACAACCTCTGGGCACCCCACTGCATCAGCCCTTATGGTCTTTATCATCAGAAATCTCCACTTCAGCCCCAGGGAAGGCTCACTGTGTGCAGCAGTCTCAGGTTCTGCCGAATCCCAGCTCCCCAACAATGGCAGATCTGTTATTTGTATCATTTTGTCTTTTTTTCTCCTTTGTTGATACTCCTTGGACGCTTAAAGCAAAACCTTAAAGCAGAACCATGCAGCACTTAAAGCTTTAAAAAGCTCTTAAAGCAGAACCATGCAGGGATGGTGCTTGGGGGGTTGGCACTGCTTGTTATTTTAAGTTAAAACTGGTCCACATTTGTCTTTGTTTTTTCCCTTCTGTTCTAGGGTTTACCTGGCCCCATAGGGGAATCTGGCCCAAAAGGAACTCGGGTAAGGAACCTTTCATTTGTCTTTTCTCTTGTTTTTATCAAAGGCTTCTCAAGAAACTTTAGGCTTGATGTTGCAATTCCGAAGCTGGTTGCTTTAATTTGTTGTGTTTGGGGGATTTGAGCTGCACACCGCTTGTTTATTGAAGCACTGTTAAGTTTTTTAAATGAAACATGGAATGTACTGTGATCAAAGTTCCCCAATAGTGCTGAAGATGAAGTGAGCCCCTCCAGAGCTCACATTGCAGGAGAGGAAAGAATGGCTTACAAATTCCTATCAAAGCCTGCAAGCCCCACGTCCCAAAGGCCTCTTTGGTTTCAATCAGTGTGGTTCAGTGGTCTTTGACCATGCTGAATATGGGCTCATTTGGGTACAGGCCTGGTTTGGGAGTGATTTAAATCGTTATGCACAACAGCAAGCCAGCATCTTGAAGCCATGTGCAAATACAAACAATATCTCCGTCCTGTCTGGTTTTGCTCACCAAAAATAATTGCTGAGGTTTTATTCTCACTGCAAAGGATTCTTTTTTTATTACTACTTAAGGCTCTTGTTAATCACATTTTGTTCTTTTCCTGCAATTATAAATTCACAATGTGATTCTAAGCCAATAAATCCCCATTTCTCTAACATGTGATACTTTCTCTATATGCAGTAAATTCAAGCAGCTGGCTTTCATCACTAGGAAAACTGCAAGGAATAAACAAATGCTGACCCTGTAGCTAGCAATATTCTTGAGCTGGGAAGGGAGAGGGCACGTTCAGTTCCTGCAGAAGAGAGGAAAATCTGAGAGCACAGCTTGCTCACCCCACTTCTGCTAGGGCTTAGGTTTCCCCTGGGGCATCTCCTTCTCTGCTCTAACCAGGACCTTGTGTAATTATCAGGTGGTAGATGTGCAGAATGTAAGATTTGGAAGTTAATCTCCATTTTGCACCCCTGAGTGGTGAGGACTGAAATATTTATAAAACCCCAAGGAAGCCCTTTCTCAGTTCAACCACAGTTAGTCATAATTGGGTGCTAAGGTAAGATATGTGCATTTTGTGGTTTAAAGGGAGCCAGCTCTGGACTCTTCTTCATCCTCCACCTCTACTTTTGCCTTCTCCAGGAAAAGTTTGGGAGTTACGTGGTTTCTTTTAGGATTCAGGAGGCAAAGGCAGACAGGATCATGTTAATGTAGCATTATTTCCCAGCTAGGTGTTATCCCTTAGGGAAACACAACCCACAGGGAGAGATGGACTGGTGAAAAAGTTTGGTGGGGTTGGCAGATAGAGATTTAGCAATGATGGAGAAAGGAAGATGAGAGAAAAGCAGTGTTAGCACTTGGCTCCTGTGAGAGTGAGGTGCCATGGAGGGGGCTCCCTGCTGAAATTCACTTCCTCTGGATTCGGCATGTTTGGCACCAGCTGGGCCATTGCAGAGGCCCAGCACACAAGGTAACTTTGTCCAGGCTGCTGAGCAAAGGGATTAAACACAAGGCTGCCATTGTGGGAAGGGAAGGGAAACACTGTTTCATGTCCTGTCTCAGCAGGACCCCCAGGCCACAGAGAAACCTGGAAACACAATGTTCCTGATGAGTGTGGAAGCAGTGGGTTTTATGTGAAATGTGTTGGTGAAAAGGTGCTTTCCCTGTAGGGTGGATCTGTGTGGATGTGCAGGCTGAGCCTCACGTCAATCCCCCAAGCCTGGAATGTCAGGTTCAGCCTCTCCCAGCCCATGCAGGCCCTTCAGTGCCTGGGATGATGGAGGTTTGCACAAGGTCTTGGTGGTGCAGGGATAGGCTTTGGGCAGAGCCAGGACTGACTGCAGGGTGGTGGCAGCCCTGGTGCCAGGAAAAGGGGGGCTTTGCCTCAGAAGGGGCTGCAGTGTGTGACCACCAGGGGACAGAAAGGGCTTGATATGACAGGACAGCTGGAAATGAGTGTCAAAAGCAAAGACAGAGATGAAAGGAGGTGGAGGTCTGTGGATTGCTTTTGCTGTCACTTTTGCTAACCTCGAACCAAGCTCCATTTCCCTCAGGTACGCTTAAAGCCAGCCCAGGTAAGGTTTCTTCTGGCTGTCCTCTTCCTGCCTGGAGTCCTCCTGATCCCTGGTGTGAGGGTATGTGCCCTTGGACTACATCGTGGAAGCCAGCACCATGCAGTCCATGGGCATATACACTTGCCTCAAGGTTTATTTCATCACGGCTGCCACTGACCAACGCTGGAGGTTGCTCTGCTCTTCAGGAAACACAGACTGACTGGGTGCTAACGGAGGAACATATTTGACTGTTTGTTTCCTCTTTTTTGTAGGGGTATATTGGTCTCCCAGGACTATTTGGGCTACCAGGGGCTGATGGAGAACGAGTGAGTATTTTGTGAAGAAAACCTTGGTGTGTTGGTTGAATGCAGTTCTTCAGAGCCTGATGTAACCTTCTCTCTCCCTAGTTCCTGAGGAAGGAGGCAAGCACGCCTAATGCTTAACAATCCTTCCTTAGCCTCTTCCTACCCTTAAATGAAGACCTGTGTCCCTGTATAAGGCTGATGTTCAGCTGAGGAGAACCCAGGCTTCAGGCAGGGCCATCAGACCTTGCTGGTGACTATAGAGGAGTTTTTCTATATTCTCCTTCACTTAAAAACCTGCCTTCCCTCTCCCCCTCGCCAGCTCACTTTAGTGAGGTGGGGCAGGGTGAGGAGAACGTACATGGAGATTCCCTGCTCCCACAGGAATCACCTCCCAGCCACGCTGACTCAGCATTTTGTGTCTGACTGGAGATGTCTGGAAAGAGCCTGGCTCTTGCAAGGGACAATGCTGAGCTTTCTGAAAATGGCTTTATTTCCAGTTGCATTGAGTTGGGCAGTCAAGCATGGGGCTGTAAGTGGGCAGCTGTGGCTGTGTCCTCCCTTCTTCCCGTCCTTTCCATCATGCCTTCCCAAACAGCCCAAGTTTTCAGAGCTTTATAGTTCATCCCTTGCTTTTCCACTCTCCAACTCCACATCCTCCCACCAGCCCGATCTCTTCCTATCCAAGGATCCCCTTCTCCCCGCTACAAGAGCTCCTAAAAAGGTCACTGGAAGACGAACACTGTTTGATTCCAGCCTTTCCTCCCTCAAATGCAAGCTCCAGAACGCAGAGAGGCCCCGGGACCATGTGGGAGCGTGCCTGCCTGGGAGGGGCCTGCCCTGCGCTCTGGCGACGCTGATTTAATGCTTGTATAACTAAATAAGAAACATAAACACAAGTTCTGCAGCGAGTGCCTCGGCGGTGGCCTGCATTTGGTTCCAGACCAGTAGCTTAATGACTGCTCCTGCTAAGCACAGCCCCAGCCTGGGGATGCTGCCTGCGCGTGTCCTCGGGAGGCCATAGTTAATGGGTGAAGGTTAATTGTCTTCTGCTCTCCCAGCCGACTGCAAGTAGCTGACATTTCGATTCCCAAACAATGCCACAGTCATTAGCCTCTTTTGCATTCTCCTTTCTCTTCTCATTTTGCTTTGTATTGTTGGTTGGCTGTTTGATTTCTCAACCAGAACTTTTTTTTTTTTTTTTTTTTTTTTTTTTCTTTTGA